TTCCTACCATTTTGTCTGTAATATGCTAAGTCCCCCCATTATTATGTTGTCCTTGTTTTACTCTTTAAAATAAAAAAAAAATATTCCTGCCAGAAACAGACCATATTGATTATCATTTGGCCTTGACTAAATTCTTTTTCATCCCCAAGTCCTTTTCTCAGTTGGAGATAGATGCTGTTAGGTAGGTAAACAGTGGACTCTCTTGTTTGAACAGAGTAGAAGCAAAATCCATTAAACAGTATTATGCTGGAAAAGGATTAACTGGCTTTTACTGTTATTTTAGGGAACTTCATAATGATGCACTCTTTCCTTCTAAGCTCTGCTGTGTTTGTGATTGCTTTTCTATGTGGTAGCCCCTCAGGTATCTAGTCCTAGAAGCACCTGTGAACCATGTAGCCCATTGTGCTGAAATATTCCCTCTAATGTTCAATTTCTAATTTGAGAATATTATTCTTTTACTGTGATTTACCCATAATCTACAAGAAAACGGAGAAATCTGATCAGTTCTATTTTGCTGCCAGAGCTGATATACCTAATGGCCTAAGATGTGTTTTCCACTAGAAAATTAACTTTGGAATGAACTCACATCTGGTGATCTGAGAGTCTGCTGATATCTCTGTCTGTTCTTAGGCTCAGATTACTTCATGCAGATAACTAGGTCCTGTGAATGGGCCCCTAGAACACTGCTCATGTAAAGAACATCATTGGTCATCATTCCTCCCAACTTAGCCTAAGTGCTTTTGGCTCAAGAGCCTCTAAATAGTGGTGGTGAATCTGTGCCACGTGTGCCTCAGTAAGATGTTTGTATCATTTAAAGCTCTAAAAGGATCACCTTTGCTGCTAAAGCACGCTGGCATTCAATTATCAAAGACCAGGACTAACACTAGTGATGGCAAATCTTTGAAAGTTTCAATGATAACAGCTGGCTGTGGTACATGTGCCATAGGTTTGACACCACTGACTTTGTCCTATTCTTCCTTTGAATTATCCACATTCACAGTCATTTCCTTTGGGCACAGTCCTTACAATTTGTCTGGATTTTGATGGAAACAAGTGGCTGCTATATCAAGCACCCTAAAATACAGACTTCCATTTTTCTCCTCCAGACTGTGACAACAGAGGCAATGTCTTTCCCTCTTACTTATATGGGACATTTCTTTCAAGTGAAACCTTACCCAATTAGATGATATAATGACTAACAAATGAAAAAAACAATTGAAGCACAAAATTGAATTTACTTTAACCTGAGGTAGGTAAATAAAAGAATGCAGAGCATTCTGGAAGGAATAATATCAAAATATGAAAAAGTGCTTTTCTTGGGTGATGGGATCGTGGGTAATATTTTCACTGCCTACTAACAGCATTACACATATGTCAAATCTTCTTCAATGGTCTAAAGTTTTTAATCAGTAAGAAAAATAATGTAAAAATGCCAGGAAACAACACAGGATATGTCACAAATAATTGTAAGGCAGGTAAAGTTGTAGTCATATTGAATGCCCAGTTTGTAGTATAAAGGTCATTGCAGCTATCTTGTAACTACAGTGTGGATCACAATGCACAACCACAGTCCACAGTCCAGTGGAATGTAAAAAGAATGTGCATTGTTCAGTGGGCATCTTTAAAGGAGCAGCCATGATTTTTCTCCTCCCTTCTCCTGTTAGCTGTAAGATAGGAGTAGCATTTAGTCTTATAAATGGAAGTGAGAATCAAGGATTGATGGATTTACAAGAAATAGCCTGGAGCTCAGGGATAGGAGGAAGAATAGTTTACAATTCATGAATGAGTCAGGACCCAGAGATGATGGGTCAAGGCTTAGGTGCGAGACAGGCTCAGAAATAGGTTGGAAATTAATGAAGAGATGTATGAAGCAGATTTACTTATACACTCTTTCACATACTATTTAGAAATTAAAACCAAAATCATAGCTTAGAATCCCACATTGTAATAAACTGTTTTGGAAACAATATAAAAAAATGTTCCATCCCAGATTCAACTCAGTAAAAATTGTATCAGTGGCCTGCTAGCTATTGAAGAAAGTGTCTCAGCTATCCTTCCACACATGCATGCTAATTAGACAAAGACTAGACAGTGGGAAGTAAGAATCTGCCAGGCATGGCAGGATGCCAAATAGTCAGGAGTCAATATTAGTAAAAGGGAAAATGTGTGTGAAAGGGCTTGTAGAAATCATTCAAATGAAGGAAAAATTCTAATCTTCTTTTAAAAGGGTAGGGAATAGTGAAAGGAAGTTGTTTTTGAGAGAGGAGAGTAAAAAATGATAAAGCCCTCTGAAAGTTTAAAAGTTATTCTTAGACATACTAACTTTGCACTGTTCTCCCCAACTCTGTTATATTTTTATGCCTATTTTTATTATATGATTTTATGGGTTCTCATGAAAATCCATTTCTAGTCATTAGTGAATTAAGTATTAGTAACTCAGTCAGCAACCAACAAATTAATGTGTATGTTTAAATAAAACCAAAATGATATATAAAATTCAATCTTAAGAATAATTAGGTGGTAAGGTAAAGTTTTAAAACTATATTAACTGTTAATATAGGTAACTACTTAATATTCTAAACCAGTAATTTATGAATCAATACAAGAAGAATAATATAAAGCAAAGAACAGTGATATGTTGTTTGGTGCAAAAATATGGCAGTGCATCCCAACCTGCACTCTCACAGCTAGTTAGCCAATGTTTTAATAGTAAAATAATAACTACATGTGTTAAGTACTTAGAATCTTCTTTAATTCTTACAAGAACCACGTGGACATATCAGGTCTCTGCCATTGCAGAAAACTTGGAGAGCTGTGGGAAGAGAGACACTTGGTGAGACACACAGGAGGGGAGAAACCCCATCCATCACCTCTGCACCACTGTGTGAACCTTAGTCTGGAGGAACCCTGGGCCTGGCCTATTTTCCTAAACCATGGGACTGGCAGCCAGTGCAGAAGTGCCCAAAACTCAGGCACCAGCATGTCCAGAGGAACCCAGGGCAAGTCCACTCTAACAAGGGGAAACACTTTGCATACAAACACCTAAATTATGATTGATTCTATTATATAACTATAGACTTTGCAAAGCTCTAAATAACAACAGCAATAATTACCACAATTTGTCAATTTCTAAATTGTGCATCATGCTATCATTATTGCTAGTTATACTACTGTGGTTAGGATGTCTTGCCTGTTGTAATCAGTTGTTCTCCCTTGTGTAACAATTTTGGGAAGCTCTGGGGTAATAAACTCATCACAGCCCTATACTAAAATGCTGAGAACTGAGCCAAACAGAAACCAACATCCCACTCAATTAATTGAGAAGGTAGAATTTGGGACAGACACAAACCAAGAATCTCCTACACACAGAAGACATCCCTGAAGAACAGACTTTTCCTAGTGAGGCCTTGATACTAGTGACATAGCTACCATCATAGTTTGGGGTCTTGCAAGGGGAACAATATAATACAGGATACATATTCTATAAGATTATTTATAATAGTCACCCAAAGAATCATGTACAAAAAGTGAGTACAGGAAATCTGTCCACACACTAAAGACCGAAGAATCCAGCTGAGGGCCTGGATCCCATGGTAATGTCCAGCATGGGTCCAGCTAAAGACCTACAGCCCATAACGATGCCTCCCATGAGTCCAACCGAAGGCTTAGAGCTCATGACAATGTCTCATGCAGGCCTGTTTCATGGATCTGAGCTGGGAAGGCCCAAAAGTCAGTAGTGCAAGCTAAATATGTGCTAGTAGATCCTTCTAGTGGTGAAATATCTGTGCTAGTAGGCTGAGGGATCTGAACTGGATCCAGGAAGCAATGCTAAAAGTAAGAACCAGAGCTCTCCCAAAAAGCACCACAGCAACAGTGAGGTCCCAAGCTCCTCTGATGATGAGGAAAGCAGAGTTCCCATGAAGCCAATGCATCAAGCTTCTCCAAGAGACTAAGCAGTGCACTACCATCTCCCCTGGAGCCAGGAAGAAATGATCAAAGTGAGAACCAGAGCTCCCCCAAAGTGAACCATAGCCATTGTCTGTGACAATGAGGTCCCAAGCTCCTCCTCTGACAAGAACAGCCAAGTTCATTAGGAAAGCCAGCATGAAAAGGTCCTCCAGCAGAATAGCCCAAGAGAAGCAGCAACTCCCTAACAGCTCTGCAACAGCTTCTTTATATCTTTTACCAGCTCCCAAAACCAATGCAGTCCTTTTTCCCAGCAGAAACCTCCCAAGCCAGGTCTTTACTGGGAGGATTTCTATAAGCCTTCTGATATTCTGAGCTCTGACTAGAATCTCACATACAGAAGAGCCTAAGGCATTCCAGTTCTACTTTTTCAGGTGATATCTCTGAACCTTTCCAAACTCTTCACATGAGCCATTCCCAATGGCTTTTCAATCACATGGTCAGATACAGTCACAGCAATCACCCCAATTCTCTGGAACCAAATTCTGTCTCTGTTACTTTTCTTTCATTGCTGAGACAAAATACCTGACATCCAAAATTAAGGAATGAAAGGTTTATTTAGTTCAGAGTTTGTGGAGGTTTCAGCCCATAATCAGCTGGCTTCAAGGCAGAGTGGCACATGGCACAGGGTGACACTTCATGGTAGCAGAAAACAGTATGATCAGTGAGAGCAAAAAGGGAAGAGCAGCAGCAAGCAAGCTTCACTCTCTCCCTTATACTGTAGGTAAGCTACACACCCTGCTACACCCAGTGTAGGGTGGGTGTAGCACTCACACCCATAATCCCATTGGACCATGAGTCAATCAAAAACTCTAGAAGTCCACTGCATGACTGCATGAGGATTTGGGGGGACATCTAGACACAAACCATAACAACTACCTACTACCAAAACTCATTAGGATCATTAAAAAAATTTTTTTTGAAATAGACAATGTTAAAAATAGGAGAAAATGTAATCTCAGACTTCCAGCCCACCCAGAACAAGTCCAGGAGACATTAACATAGAAGAAATTAGAAGTCACACACCTGAAATTTCTGAAATGATAGCACCTAAAGTAACAAAACAACACCATGAGGTTATAGAGGAAATCAGATCAGAAATAATCTCTCAGAAAAAAGAAATGGCAATCATAATGAAAGAAATGCTCAACATATCCAGCAAAAACATAGATTAAAAAATAGAGCAGCACAGAAAAATGATGGAAACCTTGAATGAACAATATAGGAAATAATTGGAATGCATGGAACAGATTCAAAGCAATATGCTAAAAATTAAAAATTCCATTGAAGGCTGGAAAAACCAGTTGATTGAAAAGAAAGATAGACATTCAGACTCAGAAGACAGGACTGTGGCTAGTGTTCACAAAAGTACAGATCTCTTAAAAATAACAAGGAACTAGGAAATAACAATTCAACAGTGGCAAGATGATGCAAAGAAAAGCAAAACAAGACTGACAGATATAAAGACTATTTGCAGAAATAATAGCAGAAAATTTCCCAAGCATGAGAAAAGAATCGGACATACACTACATTAGGCATATAGAACTCCAATGAGCCATAACAAAAAAAATCTACACTCAGAAATATAAAAATCAAGATTCCAGAAATTCAGCAGAAAAACAGAATATTAGAAGCTGTTAAAGAAAAAAAAACCCAGATCACCTATAGCAGAAAGCACATCAGAATCACAGTAGACTCCTCAACACAAACCATCAAGTGAAAAAGAGCTTTGAGTGAAGCATTTCAAATCCTGAAAGAAAACAATTTCCAACCCAGCTTGATATACCCTCCAAAGCTATCTTTCAGAATTAATGAAGAAATAAGATACTTTCAGGACACAGAATAACTCAAGAAATTCATGAACACCAAACCAATCCTACAAAGAGTACTGAAAGATATTTTAGAAAGAGATAAAAATGACCACAATTTCAAGAACAGAAAGAAACGAACCTAGCAGGGGCAAACAATTAAACAAAGGGGAAAAGTAGGAAACCAACAGCAGGAAAATAACATGATAAAGATAAGCCAATACATATTAGTTATAACCATTAATGTAATGGTCTCAAGAAACAGACTAAGAGTGGATCATGAAACAAAATCCAACAATACGCTGTATACAGGAAACACATTTAAAATCAAAAGGAAATTCATAGACTCAGAGACAAAGAATGGAAAACAATACTCCATGTGACAGGAACCTAGAAAAAAGCAGAGGTAGATATTTTCTCTGCAGACAATGTGAACTTCAAACCAAGAATGATCAAAAGAGATAAAAAAGGTCATTACATACTTGTTAGAGGAAAACTGCA